CAGATCACAGTACGGTAGAATGCAATATTTACGTTAAAGACTAAGTGCATGATGGGATTTCAATGCTCAATATTTCAACATTTATACATTTAAAATTATTTTGGAAGATTTTAAAATCACAAAGTCAGACTATGCAACAATGGTGGGAATTCAGAAAAGCACATGTAAAACAGTTTTGACAGCAGTACACTAGTAATGTCACTGTGAAATAGTTATTGTAAAACTCGAGGAGATAGTTGAGTCAACTAGAGATTGTGTCTATATGGAGGATCTCACAGCTAAAATGACTAAAAAGAGCTCAGCTATCATCGAGTCGCAGTCATGATGCTATCGTGCAAAAAAATTATAAATGCAGCACTGTGAAAAAAATAAATGTGGACATGATGCACCTGCAAAGCATCACAGAAGCTTTCCATCTACAGTCTGTAGAGGGCCTTCTCACGGGATCATCTGAAGACTGGAGAGCTGATGCGCTCGCTGCTCGACTGATAACTGATAACAGCTCTCAGTGATGTGTGTCAGGTCCCCGCAACAATAGCACTGACATTCACAAATGTTCAGAGAACAAGCGGGAACCCAATGTGCCTGTGGCTTCCTCTATTTCTGTTTTGATAAGTGATAGAAGGACTAGGGCCGACTCAAGGCGTACAGCACATGTATCTAATCTGCTCCCGATTAGACATCAGTCCGAGACTGCTAGGGGGCCAAACACAGATACAGTGAAGTCAGCGCTTTTAAAGTCAACATTAAATCAAAATGAATGCTTTCTACTTTCTAATGCACATCCCTGCTTTTATTGTGCACAATTCATCAGTGCAAATTATTCTAATTGCTCTAATCTAATCTCTCTGACATTTTATCTCTTATAAATTAGATCTGTTTCTGCTTTAAAAAAGTTAAATGTGAATACAAGCAAACTATTTAAAAATGTTCAAAGAACTTTATTATCCTAAAAATAGCTTTCCAGCAAAAAAAGTTTTTTTTTTTTGTACAAACTTAAATTTGTGTAATTCTGTCATATTTTAATTTGGTGGAGCAAATTAGAGAAAAATTGGTTTAATAAATTAAATAAACTTTTAATCTTTAAAAGATTAAAACACTTAAAATCAATGTCAAACGAGTCTGTCAATCTCAATTTACATACATCTTAAAATGAAATTTATAATTATTAATATAAATACGAGTATGAAAATGAGTCATGTACTCCTAATGCAAATTGAATAAGTAAACCTAATTTAAAACTGATTTCACAAAATTGCGATAACTAATCTTAATTGAGCAAACTGAACAAGCAGCCAACAATTCTGGGTATATATATATCTACTTTTGTGTCTATCTATGTACAGTATATATCTAGTCTAGTATATACTGCATATATACAGAGTCCATCTATGTACTGTAGAGAATATAATAAGCAATACTTTAATTTGATTTAAATTTCCAGCTATGATACCCCAGTAAAGTTAGGAATATAAATTAGGAATAAGTTAGGAAGTCAGGAATATTTGCAATACCTGCACTTTATTTGCTACTGTTGACAGGTTAACTAACCCTCTAAACTAAGGTTGCCTGTAATCTGCTCTCTGACAGCATATGCAATGAGTTAGCATTGTTTTTCACTTACCAAATAATTTATATTAGAATAGAGATTAGCATGTCCTCATGTAGCACTGGGGTTATACGGCCCCCACAACAACAACAACATAATAATTTAGACACTTTGTCTGGTTTTGAGGCAATTGCCTACAACACACTGCAGACTTTTTAAACTGTCGTCCTGCTGTCTTGCTGCCCACATCCTTTTCTGAAAATGTGTTTAACTGTCCAGTAACTGACCTATTAAAAATAGTTTATGGCTCCTTTCAGGCTTCGTTCCTTTGTCTTGAATACTGCAGTTTTTAGTCGCTCCTAAAAAAGAGCCATCTGGATAACTCTGTACTAAACAACTACAGACCTATTTCAAATCTCCCCTTTATAGGCAAGATAATTGAGAATGTAGTTTTCAATCAGCACAACAAATTCCTAAACTCAAATGGCTACTTGGAAGATTTCCCATCTGATTTTTGTTCAGATCACAGCACAGTGACGGCACTCGTAAAAACAAAATGGCATTTGCCTAAATACTGATTCAAGAAACTATCAGTGCTGGTTTTTATTTGATCTTCATGCTGCTCTTGACACTGACAACCATAATATGCAACTAGACAGACTGGAAACCTGGACAGGACTCTCTGAGATGATGCTCAGCTGATTTAGGGGTTATTACATATAAACAGGCAATTATGAATCTAAATGGACCACCATGACACGTGGAGACCCCCAGGGCTCGATACTTGGACCTCTCCTGTTTTAAAAAAAAATCTTAGTTCCAGTATTCATCATATCAAAAACACATTAATTCTGCATGGAAACAAGATTTAGAAGAGTTAATTCACACATCCATTACCAGCAGGGCCAACTGTACTACAACTCCTCGCCAATCTTCCCAAAAAAGACCATTAGATAGCTGCAGCTCATTCTAAGGGCTGTTGTTGTTGTTGCTGCTGTTTTATTAAAAATAATAATAATAATATGCTGGTCACAAAGTTCATCACTTCATCTACATCTTTCCCCCTGAATAAAGACTCATATGTTTTTCCTAAATACCGTTTCATAGAAGATATCAGTGCCTGTTTTTATTAGATCTTCATGCTGCTTTTGACATTGTAAACCACAATATGCATCAGGGCTGACTGGAAAACTGGATAGGACTCTCTGAGATGGTCCTCAGCTGATTTAGGTCATATTTAGGGGTTACATATAAACAGGCAATTATGAATCTAAATGGACCTCTATGATGTGGAGACCATCAGGGCTCGATACTTGGACCTCTCCTGTTTTTAAAAATCTTAGTTTCAGTTGTCACGTCAAACCAATAACTAAATCAGCCTTTTATCATCTCAAAAAACACGTGAATTCTGCAATCAAACATGATTTTGAAAAATTTACTCACACATGTATTACCAACAGCACAGACACCACTGTAAATCCTCACCAGAATAAGACTATTCCCTCATTCATCTACATCTTTTCCCCTGAATAAAGACTCATATGATGTCCTTCTTATATGATGCACAACGAAGACTCCTCACCAACCAAACAGCTCTTGCAGGTCAAGAACATCTAATTTCTATGAATCTGACCCACAGTTCTCAGAAGAACAGCAGAGAGGGATGATGTTATGAATTTAGGGAAGCCCTCAGGCCTTTTACAAGGGTTCATGATGCAATTTCCAAAAATAGCCCAGTGCAAACAAACACGGATCTGGAATCAAAGCAGTGCAGGTTGCCTTGGGCACACTGGACATCACCAGGGGCACTGGGTCAGTCTTCTTCCTCAGCACAGTGAACAACAAAACAAAGATTGTTGTGTTGAGTTCAGAAAACCACCATCTAGCTGTGATGATAATATTAATGCAATATTCCTAATCTCAGCAAACCTGGTTACTTTAAATATGGTGACATATCTACTTAATTTGCTGTGATCTAAACGATGTTTGTGTTTTTGTCAGAACACAAACTAATGTCCCTAGACATTAAAAACACTATGCCAATTACTCACGAGAGACAGATTCGCTTATTCTTTACTTTGTAATTAAGACGTGAGAGTGGCAGTTAAAAATAGTGTGACTTGTTGATGTCAGAGTGTCAGTCTGCCTCCTACGTGTCTGGGAAAGCAAACTATGCCATTTAATTTCCTTGTCTTAGCAACAGGCTGTTTTTCCCTGTTCTCTCTAACTCCCCCTCTTTTTTCAAATAGATTTTTTCCTGCAACCTCGTCCCTATACGTTTGCACCTGTGTCTGACTTTTTAATGATTCAAAGGGCTGGTGATTAGCAGTAATCAGGCTTAGCATGGTAGGGCAGAGGAGAGTCCACCAGGCCACTTTAATGACTTGACACTGAAATGAATTCGTCATGGCAACCATTGACCTAGTGGATATTATTCGTAGCAGAATGTCAAGACTTCGGGAACTTCGGAACGTCCTTCACAGAATAAAGATAATGACGCTTTATTAAAATGGAGAAAGCCGCAGAGCATGCTGCTCGAAAACACTTGTCACAGACGGGATTGTGTGCCATTCAGAATTGAACTTAAAATGGCTTTTAATCACAAATCCAATTCCTGAATTTCAATTGAGGCAGCAGGATACAGAATTGTGAATTTAAGCTGAATTAAAACAGAATAATACTGTAAGAATTTGTAGGAATTATTTTCATTTATCAGTATGAATTACCCATAACTGTACACACAACATATGGGGCATTTCCATAATCTCTGAAATATCAAACCTATATAAATTTGTATTATACTGTACATACATATGTGTGTTTGTAAATTTACATGATAAAATATTCATAAATATTTTAAATTTTAAATGCATTGATTTAATTATATATTTCTACAATTCTATAACATTTATTTAATACATATCTATTTTTTATTTTTATTTATTATTATTATAATTTTTTTTCAGTATGAATTCCCCATAACCGTATGCACATAATACGGGGCATTTCCAGAATCTTTGAAATATAAAAAAAAAAGTGTCAGAGTGTGTGTATATATAT